TTAAACCAATTATAATTAGCCAACTTGTAAAAAATAATATATATATATATATATATATATATATATATATATATATATATATATATATATATATATATATATATATATATATATATATATATATATATATATATATATGCGTTACATATGAAAAAGCTCTCATATTATAAGCATAATTAATTTTTTTTGGTTTGTGATGTGTCAATGACATGACATTAAAAATATTTATGAAAAATACTCTCTTATAGTGGATACTTTTAGTTCTTACCAAGACAATAATTCCAAGAAACTGTTTTTATTGTTTAAAAAGTGCAAAACTCGGCTGAATCTTAGAGTTGATTAGTGTGTGTTTTAATCTTAAATTCAAAATTAGGACAATTTCGTAAGCAATTGACTCTGTGAAAGACCTAATAAATTGAATTAATATATTTGTTCGATTTTTACTGGTTTTCTGCTTAATTTGAAAAATATTCATATAAAACAACACGTTTGAGCTTTTTAACATTTTTGTTAGTCGAGATGGAGCGAGCTTTGGCTTGTTTAAGGTTTCTTTGACTTATAACAGGACAAATTCCAAAATACACATAGTGGATCCCCATTACTTGTTGGAGATGGAGATGAGCGGGATATTTAATACCCGATGGTTATGGGAACGAAGATGAGGATTCAATTATGATGATTAGAATGCGATGCTCAATATACCCATCCCCGTTTCAAAACCTAATCATTTATCATGATGATTACATTATAACCAATTGTCTTGATAGCAAGAGATTTGAGAAGTATGGAGATACAATCATGGACTACTCAAGAGAAATATCATCATGGAAAAATGAAGAATCAACATGTTGAAAGCAATCGATTAGCTTAGAAAATTGACTAGTGTTATTGAAATGTATGAATGGAACACTTTTAGAGTTATTCATTAGTTAAAACCTAGAAAACCGACTATTATTATTGAAATGAATGTGAAGAACTTTGAGAAGTATGATGATACAAGTAAAAGGCACTTGAATTTTGTCTTCTTTCTACATGTGAACGAATTTTTGGTTCAATGAGAGGAATGCTTTTTACATGCCATAAAAATATCAATAAATGCTTTTGGGGATAATCTTCCGAAAATATAAAAATAAATTCTATCGGTAAAATGACACTAAAGCATTGTCAGTATTACATAGAAAATAGTCAAACCATATTTATGTGTAACATCTGTCGAAAAAAGTATGATGGATATCGTATATGCCATTGTTAAGCCTCAAAATATCGTATTTGTCTAACCTTAAATTGAAATATCATATTTACCTTTTTAAAATTCTAAAATTTGGTATTTAACCAAATATTTTTTTATCATTATTTTTTTTTTGTAAAATTATATAACAAAATTTCTATATATTATAATCATTATAAATTTAAAAAAATAGATTCATTATATTGTCCTTAAAAATTGAAACCCCATTAAAATCTGATCACAACATAAAACTTTGACCCTTAACTACCTTCTACATTTTCGATGTATAGACAACAGGAGAAAGGGTTTGGAATCCCCCCCCCCCCCCCAATCGCAAATTTTGAAGATAAAGCCTTGAATCAAAGGTAGTAGTGCGACATTAAGGATGATCCAATGAGAATTTGTAAACGAGTCTCTCCTCTTGATTTCTTAATACGTGGTGATCTTTGTGCTTCTTGCAAACAACAATGGAGGTTTTAGAGCTTGTATATACTCAGGTGTGATCACATTCAAGAACTAGGTTAATTTGGACGAACTTATGTGAAAATCGATTTGTTATTTAAGGGCGATATAGTCATTTTATTACTTTTCTTTTAGTTATAATAATTACAAATTATATAATTGATTACAAATTGTGAAAAATAGTTTATAACAAAATTTTGGACAAATGCGATATTTTAAAGGTTAATAAGGATAAAGACAATTTTTATTATTTCTATTTTTTAAATTTTAAGATGGGAAAATACGGTATTTTGTTGTTTAACAAAGGTATATACAAAGTAACCCAAAAAAGTAAAAGCTCAAATCCATTGGAGTTACCAACAAAATATCTATGTTGCTAATTTTGTTGGAAATCTATCGATATAGTGTGTTTCGACGGATTACCCATGCAATGGCCACAAGAATAAGTCTTTTTCTCATATTAGTTGTAATAGCATTAATGAAAGGGATAATGACTTGAAAGGGTAATGACTTTCGACTTTTTCACATTTAGTCACTAAATTTTTTTTCGTTATCTATTTGTCATTGAACTATTGAAACTGTTCACATTTTACCCTTATGATCGGCTGTTACCGGTCATAAGGGTAAAATACGAACAATTTCAATAGTTTAGTGGCAAATAGATAACGAAAAAAAGTTTAGTGACTAAATATGAACAAAATCAAAAGTTCGTTTCCCTCTAAAAATGTCAATGACCAAATGTGAACAAACTTACTCTTGTATTACGTTTTAGCAAAGTATTTATTTTTGTAAAATTGTAGCAACATTTGTTGATGAAGAAATCTATGAAAAAAAAAGAAGCAAAACCCTGAAATATATTTTAAAAAAACAAAAAACCGAAACCGAAATAAAAAACCAATGGTTTGACATTTTCCAAAACAAAAAATCAAAATTTCCAATCTGATTTTGATTTTACAAAAAAATGAACCATTCTCACTGATGTGAATTATGACCATTGGTTTGGCCTGCGGAATTTGTGACATCCCATGAATATGTAGTTACAACATTGTCTGAACTCATAATTCATTGTAAGGGGTTAGAGTATCATCGCATGAATACGTAGTTACAACATCGCCTGAAGTCGTAATTCATCACCTACAGGTTATGGGTCTGCTGGTGTTTCCACTGGGTTGTCTAGAATAGTCTGTGGTCGCCATCTATACTCTGGTAGATGACTACATCGCCACATTGTCGGTTAAGGTTATGATATCTCCTTTCATCCTACATCACCTATTCATCATCATATATTTACCTTTCTATCATCACCTTTCTATCATCACCTATCTCTTATCATTTTATTTCATCACACACCAACTATTTCATATACCCATGTTTTATCCGCAACATATTTGTAGATACAAAATTAATATACCGTTTAAATCTTTTAAAACATGTATAAAATCGTCCATCCAGCATGGACAACAAGTATTCAAATAATATGTACACATAGCACGTAATTTATATAAAATACTTCATATCTATGTGTAAGATGAAAGTAACTATATATACTATAAAAATCCCATAAATGCTTCCTAACTTCAAACCCCAAGGTTTACTCTACTAAGGCTTCATATTCTCGGCTCTCTAGACCTAGAAGGGTCCAAATTCCTAACTTCAAACCCCAAGCTTTACTCTACTAAAGCTTCATATTCTCGGCTCTCTGGACCTAGAAGGGTCCAAATCTATAACACAAACTTGCAAGAGGGGTTTGAGGCATTCAAAACCCCAAAGGTGAAGTGATTCAAGCACTGACCCCAAAATGGAATCTACACAATACGTGAAGAAAGGGGTTCATTTTTGTACCTTAGAATGAAGCTCATTGCTTGAATAACTCAGAACAATAACCTTCCTTGGTCCCTCTTGCTGGAACTCTTCTCCTTTCTTGAAAAATCGCACCAAAAAACTCAAGATAGCTCTTCCTCTCACTCTACACACTCAAGCTCGCTAGGGTTCTCACTTATGGGAAAGGTAGTCGCAATTGAAGGCCATAAGTGCCTTTAAATATGGCTCGGGCCCAAAGATTTAGGGTTTCTGCCAACAGTGCGGACTCGTCGAGTCGCCTCACTGACTCGTCGAGTCCATTCATTAATCCGAGTCATCAGTCGCGACCTTACTCGACGAGTTGAGGCGTCAACTCGTCGAGTCTCTCGTCTTAACTCACAAGAAAAATACTTAAATTGTGATACATGGAAATCCGGATGTTACATTTTTTTTTTATTTCATATATTTCTTTATCAACAAATGTTACTACAATTTTAAAAAAAAAATAATTTGCTAAAACATAATACAATAGGAAGTTTGTTCACATTTAGCCATTAAACTTTTTAGAGGGAAACGGACTTTCGATTTTGTTCACATTTAGTCACTAAACTTTTTTTCGTTATCTATTTGCCACTGAACTAATGAACAGTTTCAATAGTTTAGTGGCAAATAGATAACGAAAAAAAGTTTAGTAACTAAATGTGAACAAAATCGAAAGTTCGTTACTCTTTCAAGTTATTATCCCTTAATGAAATCCACACACACACACACACACACACACACACATATATATATATATATATATATATATATATATATATTACCAAGTGCAATAATGGAACACAAGAGAGATTTTTTTATTTTAGTTTAGTTCTTTGGAAAATGGCTATAGTGGTTCACTGAAATTTCGAAAATACTTGTAAAGATTTCAACATTGAATTTTTATATAAATGCAATAAGGCTTTCAACCATGCATCTTTAATATCGAATAACCATTACTATGCATGCTTCTGACTTATAAATTAGTAAACTGGATTTTTTGGTTGTGGGAGCATATCGATGCTTCGGTTCTTCCGCTACATCCCTTTATTGATGTCACCAAAAGGGAAGCACAAATACTAAAAGTGTTCAAGAATTTTCAAATTAAGGAAGTTCATATTAAATCCCAAGGTTACATTCCATCTTTTATATAGACGCATGCTCAATACCAAAGGTATATATTGCCAATTATCTAAAAACTAAAATTGACACACTAATTATGAAATTAATTTGCTAACCATTCACATGATTGATGGAAACCAATTGATTTACAATAAAAACAGAATAGTTCTAAAACCCGAAACAAACTAAATTTTGAGGAAAAGGCAATATTGGAGTCCAAAACAACAGAATTTAGGCAGTGGAGGCGTTTTGAAGTTAGATCCGTCCGTCAAGAGTTATGTCTGTTGGGTTTTTAATCTTGATAGGTTGTTATTCTAGAAGTGTTTTAGTATTTAGTTTATCTAGTGAATTAAATAAATGTTAGTAAGTTGAAAGTGTCAATGAAGGACCGGGTATCAGGGAGTATTAGAAGCATGATTGCTGCTGGAAAGGTGGGGCAATGAGTTTTACTATTTCCTGCATGTATAGCTATAAATAGTCTCTTATCGATTGAATAAAAGAAGCAGCTTTGAGTCCAAAATACTTCCATCTCTCCATATTTGTTTTCTGTATACATATATACATGTGAGTGTGTGTTATTTGAGAGACGACTTGAGGGCTTGTGATCCAACAATGTCTGTTTGTTGAGCCTCTTTCCTTTGATCCTCTTGAAGTTGAGTCTCTTTCCGATACCCCTCTTGTTCTTCTCCAATTTATCCATATATGCTATCGCTAGCTCGACAATGTGCCCTGCATCACTTTCCAAACCAATCGTGCAATTCTTTGTTCTTGTTTCCAGCTTCAACGAATCCCGCTTCATCTCCATTTTGCATAACAATCCACAATTCTTTGAACCAAGTAATGAGTCTTGTAGGAGCAGAGAGACCATGTTTGCTGAGGGGTCTTCTTTTTCGGAACCATCAAACATATTTTCTGGGAGCAGACGCCTAAAGTTTTAAGAGGGATCTACGGCTTCGGAACCATAAAGTGCATTTTCTGGGAGTAGACGAATCATGTTTTCTGAAGGATCTATTGTTTCATATAATGGATTTTCTGGGAGCAGATGAATCAGTTCTTTCGTTGGATCCTCCCTTTCATAACAAAATGCATAACGTTTGGAACTTTTGAATACAATAGGTATGGGTGGGGGTGGTGGAACATGGTAACTGTTGGCAAATTGGCAAATCAAACGAGAAGAAAAGATAGGAGACAGTTAGCTAAATGCTTGTTTTATTGAATGATTGAAAGCTGGAAAAGTTACATTCAAAATAGCTAAAACAACTGAACTTTAAATAGACTAGAAATAAAACTGAAAGCAGATAAATCAGCAACGTTCTTTTACTTGGCAACACTCCCACGTGTCCCTCTTATTCTCCTGATTACATGGTCAACATTGACTAACATTTCTCCCCCTTAATGTTGACTTTCTTCTCTAAGTCTGCAACACCAATGAGTGCCCTCATTTCTGCAAATTTTATCCTTGGCATTGCTTTTGTCAATACATCAGCCTTTTGTTGGTCTCCACTTACATGATCCACCTCAATTTGTTCCTTTTCAACACATATCCGGATGAAGTGGTATTTAGTATCTATGTGTTTGCTTCTCCCATGGAAAACCGGATTCTTAATAAGGGCAATAGCTGATTGATTGTCTATGAACAACTTCACCTTTTGTGCCTTTTGTCCAACCAAGTCACCAAACAGGTTCCTAAGCCACAATCCTTGACATGCAGCTGCTGTAGCAGCCATATACTCAGCTTCACACGAGCTGAGGGCCACTGTTTGTTGTTTCTGTGATGTCCAGGTTATCAAATTTTCTGAATAGTAGTAAGCTACACCTGTGGTTCCTCGCCCATCTTCTCGATCATTGCTATAGCTGCTATCACTATAGCCCACAAGCTTACCATCACCGCCCCTGCGATAAATCAACCCATACTCGGTTGTTCCTTTCACATATATGAGGATATGTTTTATGGCTGCATAGTGGCTTTGTTTAGGATCTTGCATATACTTGCTCACTACTCCAATGCTGTAATTTAAATTGGGTCTTGTGTGGACTAAGTACCTTAGACTTCCAACAAGTTTCCTGTAATTTGTTGCATCTACAGGTTCCCCATATTCATCTTTTGTTAGCTTTAGCTTGGCCTCCATTGGATACAGAGATTTATTGCAATCTTCCATCCCTGCTACCCTTAAAAAATTTTCTGCATACCCCTTCTGTGTGAGCATTATCCCATCTTTCTTCTGAGACACTTATATCCCCAAATAATAAGACAACAAACCCAAATCACTCATATCAAACACCTGTTGCATTTTTTTCTTGAACTCTAGGATTCCTTTTTCACTTGAACCAGTAATTATAAGGTCATCCACATAAACTCCTACAATGAGGACTAGATTGGGTTTATGTACCTTATAGACAGCTTGTTCTTGTGCACATCTGGTGAATCCTAGCCTTTTGAGTGATTGGTCCAACTTTACATTCCAAACTCTTGGAGCCTGTCTTAATCCGTACAGTGCCTTATGCAGACGATATACCATATTCTCTTTTCCTTTAACTGAGAATCCGATTGGCTGAGAGACATATACCTCCTCCTTAAGATCTCCATGTAGAAATGCAGACTTGACATCCAAGTGATGTACAAGCCAATTTTCTTTTGTTGCTAAAGTAAGAATCAGCCTGATAGTTTCCAACCGTGCAACTGGTGCAAAAGCTTCTTCAAAGTCAATAACCTTTTCTTGGACATACCCTTTGGCGACTAGGCGGGCCTTGTGTTTGATCACGTTTCCAGCTGCATCTCTTTTTAGCTTGAACACCCACTTTAGCCCTATTGCCTTACGGTTTGATGGCAACTTGGTTAAAGTCCAAGTGTTATTCCTTTCAATTGATCTCAACTCAGACTCCATTGCTTGCTTCCATTCCCTTTCAGTCGATGCTTCTTGATATGTCGTGGGTTCATCATCAATTAACAGCAGTTCCTGATTTCTTTCATACATCTCATGTATTTCTGCATCATTCATTCTTGTTGTGTTATGGTAGATTTCATTAATTGATCGGAACCCTTTTGCTGGAGTATCATCTAACGAAGCTATTGACCCGCTTCTTTCGTATTCCTCTAAGGTCTGACCTGGGAGAGCTGTACGTGGGTCAACTCTAGACGAGTTTGACCATGGCGAGTCTTCATTCATTGGATCACCTGGTACATGTTCAAATTGAGAGTTATTAGTTAATGGCGTGTAGGGTTCTTCATTTACGTCATCTTCATGTTGTTGGGCTGGTTCATGTTGTTGGGCTGGCGGTGATTGGGTTATTTCAACGTTAGTCCAATAAGGTGTGGTAAGTGGCTCCCCCTTTGTTTCTTCAGTCCAGACCCAACGTTTTGCCTCGTCAAAGATTACATCTCTTGCAACTACTATTCTCCGATTTCTGGGATTATATAGTCTATATCCCTTCGTTCCCTCTTCTGTTCCCAGGTAGACCATCGATTCACTTCGATCGCTCAGCTTGGTTAGGCCTCGCAACTTCTTGACAAATCCCACACATCCAAAAATCTTCAGATGTGCAATCGAGGGTTTCGAACCCTTCCATGCCTCGTACGGTGTTACCTCTTTCAAGGCCATTGTACTAGTTCTGTTCAACAAATAAACAGAGTGTCGCACCGCCTCACCCCACAACTGGTCTGGTATCTCCATGGCCTTGAGCAACGATCTGGTCATCTCCAAGATCGTCCTGTTACGGCGTTCCACAACGCCGTTTTGCTGTGGCGTGTGTGGCGTCGTCAACTGGCGTTTTATCCCTGTTCGTTCGCAAAATTCCAGGAAGTGATTGGAATTGAATTCGCCCCCACGATCAGTCCTTAACCTCTTGATTCTAAAATCGCTTTCTTTCTCTACTTGTGACTTGAATTTCTGGAACATATTAAAGGCCTCATCCTTTGTTTTAATCATATACACCCACATGTATCGTGAATAGTCATCGACTATCAGTAGGAAATATTGGTTGCCTCCCTTTGTTGCTGGTGTAATGGGACCACACAGGTCTGCGTGTAGCAGCTGGAGTGGTTCTTTGGCTCTCCACTGGGCCACTTTTGGGAAACTTATCCTTGCTTGTTTAGCTAGCATACATCCTTCACACACCTGTGATGGATGAGATAATCGAGGCATACCAGTTACCATTCCCTTTCGTGTCATCTCCCCAAGCGTTTTGAAATTTGTGTGACCCATACGTGCATGCCATAGCCATGAGTCATCCTTTATACTCATGGCCAAGCATATAGGCTTTCCAGGTGTAAGCTTTATCTTATAAAGTCTGTTCTTGGATCTCTGCACCTTCATAACTAAGCTTCCTGCTTCATCATACATTCTCAAGAACTCCTTCTTCATCCCTATGTCATATCCTTCCTTAGTCATCTGTCCCAAACTTATTATATTGCTATGTAGAGCTGGAATATAATACACATCTGGGATGATGAACTGATCACCACTTTTACAATCAAACAGTAATGTACCTTTCCCTTTTATTTGAACCTTAGAACCATCTCCAAATCGTACCTGTCCGGTCACCTTTTCATCGAGCTCTGCAAATAAATCCTTAGAACCAGTCATATGGTTACTAGCCCCATTGTCCAGGTACCACATATCATTATCATTGTTGTCTCTTAATTGGTTCGGGTACACCTTTTCCTCATTTAGGAGAACCATGCTTGTAGTTTCTTCCCCATGTACGGTTAACAGAAGTGCAGGTCCATCTTCGTCTGTAACTAGATTAGCCTCTTGTTCCTGTTGCTTCTTTGATTTACACTCTGAAGCAAAATGGCCAAATTCTTGGCACTCAAAGCATTGTATATGACTTTTGTCACGAGGCTTCCGGTTGGAATTCCCAGCTTCTTGTCGTGAACTACCACCCCAGCGTCCACCTCTGCCACGCGTCGAACCCCGGCCACGTGAATTGCCTCTTCCTCCCCTGTCACTATTTCTTCCTCTTCCACGACCACCTGTCGTGTTTGACTTGCTTGGACTTCGATGAGTAGAAGGGCCTTCCGTTTTGGCAAGTAACAAGGCATTATCTGCTTGTGTGCTTGTCTTCCGGAGTCGAAGTCGATCTTCATATGCCTTTAGATGCCCAATCGCCTCTTCAAATGGCATGGATTCCATGTCTGAACTTTGCTCAATCGATGCCACTAGGTTGATGAACCTTTCAGGGACCGTATCAAACAGTTTTCTCACCAGTTCTTCATCATCTAATGTTGCTCCTGCACTGCTGTATTTTGAGATCATGGCTGATATTCTTCCTGCATAATCATCAATGGTTTCCGTATCCTTCATTTGGAGACCTTCAAACTCGCTTTTCAATACCCTTAGCCTTGCTTTCTGGACTCTTTCTGCACCCACATACCGTGACTTTAGAGAGTCCCACACTTCTCTAGCTGTCTTCTTCTTGGCAGCCTGTGCAAGCATCTCTTCTGGGATTGACTGGAAGATGAAGGCTCGAGCCTGCTTGCTCCTTTTCTCATCCACTTCCACTCCGGTTGGTGGCTCAATGGCTTCCCACAATCCATGGGCATCCATGATGGCTTCCATCTTAATCGACCAGGTATTATAATTCTGCGAGGTTAGCATTGGGCATTGTAAGGGGAACGGATTGTCTTTGGATGGATTGGATGATGATGCTTCTGTCATGGTAGTGTGTCTGATATACTTGGGCATACACTCTAATCAGAACCTTGAAGCTTTGATACCAATTATTGGCAAATTGGCAAATCAAACGAGAAGAAAAGATAGAAGACAGTTAGCCAAATGCTTGTTTTATTGAATGATTGAAAGCTGGAAAAGTTACATTCAAAATAGCTAAAACAACTGAACTTTAAATAGACTAGAAATAAAACTGAAAGCAGATAAATCAGCAACGTTCTTTTACTTGGCAACACTCCCACGTGTCCCTCTTATTCTCCTGATTACATGGTCAACATTGACTAACAGTAACAAGGATAGAAGAAAGGATGCTCAAGTGCCTCCATAGTTGTCGGCCTCACGGATGGATTCCATGAAAGAAGCGTGGCAATCAGATCAAGTGCTTCCAGGCTTGCTGATGGTAACAGCGAAGAAAGTTGGACACCAGGATGTTGTGGGAACTGATAGTTACTATTTACCATGCTCAATGTGGTTTCTGTTGGACTGCCGATCACACTGCATATTTTATACATTTGATCTCCGTCATGTTTACCAGGAAAGAGTGGGTGGCGTGTAAATAGTTTTGCCATGATTGCACCTATTGCCCACATATCAACTGAAGAATCATATTCTTGCCCAAGAAGAACTTCAGGGGCACTATACCAGCGGGACCCAATATTATCAGTGGCCGGTTTGCCATTTATCTCACGAGCTAGACCAAGATCAACAATCTTTAATACATCCTTGGAAACAAGAAGGTTCTCCGGTTTGAGGTCACGATGAAAGTAGCCGTTGTCGTGCATGTATGCCAGACCTTGAAAGATTTGGAAGCACAAGTCTCTAATCTCGTCCTCTGAAAAAGGCTTCTTCCTGCATGTCATACGCTCGCATAGACTGCATTCCATGTATTCAAACACCAAGTACAAACTGTCGTCTTCTTTGATGATTTCCTTGAGCTTTATGATGTTTGGGTGATTCATCTTGCGCAGTGCCTTGACTTCTGTCAAGTTGATGTATTCTTTGACCGAGTTGCACCTCTTTTTCAGTTTCTTGATGGCAAACACTTCATCACTGTGTTCATCCCATGCTCCCCAGACAACCCCATATGATCCACTCCCAATTTCCTTCAGTATTTGATACTGCTCCATTGTTTCTAGCTTTCTCAAGTAAACACACAAACGAGGAAGAGGAACTCACAGAAACAATCGCTATGTATATTAAGAACACCTCACCTTAATTTCTTGATGAATGACACGAAAGAACATAATGTTTCTGGTGAACAGGCATGCATGCTTCACAAATTTTAATTATAAAACATAATCGATGGAGGAAGGGGTTAAAGAAAAAGGATAGGGAACGAAGATAGGTGAATGGGGTTTTAAGTTTCCATATATAATTATCTTACGGTTATACCTGACTTCATCTTATGACATGCAGACACGGTTGCTTTGGCTCCAAACAACTTAAAAAATGGCTCCAATCAACTTAAAATTAAGAGCTTTGTATAATTATAATTAACAAGATGCCATTGTTGATGATATTTCCAACTTCTATATTGCCCCCTACCGAATGTCAATTACATTAAAAAAAAAAAAAAAAGGAATATTTTAGCTTATTTTGTGAGGAATCGTTAATGATATTGGTTTAAATTTGTTTTCTATCTCAAAACATACTCACTTTTACAAATCTATATCCATCTTAATATTTCTTTCATATCTTTTTGAAAATTCTTTAATAAAAATGACAAATATATTAGAAAATTATAAATTATTACTAAACGTTAATCTGTTTTAAAATCATAAGAAATTTTATGTTATTTAATTCATTTTTCTTTTTTGTTTTATTTATTTTTATATTATTGAATTAAAAAAAAAGAGAGAAAAATTAGTACTTAAAAACATCATTACACTTAAGTTCATAAATCATAAGTAAAAAAAATATAAAAACCGCAAAAAATTGTGTGAAATCTAGGAAACCTCTTTTACCATTGTGAAAAAATACATCACTCCTTTAGCCTAAATAAGTATAATATTATATGATTGAATTAACTTTATTAGAGAATGAATCTGAAAGTGGTCAACAGTTATGATTTATCTTCTTTCAGTTTTTGTAACTAATAAAGATGTTATAGAGTTTTAATATCATACTAGATGCGTAGTGTTGTGTGGGTCGAAATGGTAAATTAAATGCAGAAATAACATATTACTTGTACTTGAATAAACAACATTCAAACCCATCTAATACAAATGATGATGAAGTAAAAACAAGTTCCTGCAATTCTACTGAATTTGAAATCAACAATCCTATTAAGATATTGCGTGTCTCCGGCTGTAACTAGTCAAAAGGGCAGGTTGTAGACGTTTCCTCAAAGAAAAATATGCACATAAAATTATATATAATAATAAATACGTTTAAAAAAACACATTTTCGTGGATTAATATGGTAATTTTTGTTATCATATTATGGATTTGAAGTGGTTGGACCGGAAGTAGGTGATTTAGGATTCCCCACTTCAAGCAACGCAAATCATAATTGTGCACATGGAAATTTACGATTTCGTCATTTAGCATCTAAATTGCGGACAAAGGATTCCAACACTTCTCGATAATCGTACCTTGAGAAAATTTATAGACGGATATTTGGCAAATAATGTATCAGCAAAAGGAGATTTTTTCTTGGATTGAAGGTTGGATGTTGCTTTAAAAAGAACAATAGGAGCTCCTACATTTCAAATTAAAAAAGGTTGCAAACTTTAGCAAGAACAGGTTGTATTATTTTCATTAAGACAACTATTGGCTTATACAACCTCTTTACAATTTAAATTTAGAGAAATCAAAGATCAAAGAGAACTCTAAGTACAAAGATTATAACCAAATACCAGAGAAGAGAGTGCAAATGCAAGAAAAGCCAAAAAAAAAAAATCATATTGATGCAGTTGCCATCTTGCCAATTGTTTGCCAATTGTGTCAACGCGTCTTTTCCTAATTTTACACCCATTCATCCATCGACTTCTTTAATGTCACTTGGGCATGAAATTATTACTATTGGAAGCTCTATTCTCAAAATATTGTTACGTCAACTAATTTTATGTAATAAAAAAATAAACAGTAAATCAAATTCAAATAAAATTGATTTGCATGTGTCATGTATCCCTACTATTTATACGTGTTGAGCTCTGCATTTAAATGACCATTTTGTCCGTGTCTCCATACCATTCAATTTTTCTCAGCAAGAGCTACTTCCCATTTTCCAAATTTCAACTCCAATCAGTAAAATTATTCTTGGCTACATGATAGAGTTAATTGCAGTTCAAGTCCTCATACTCACATGTTACTGTATTACCACCAATAATGCTTCGTTATTGCTTCCTAGTAGCATGCATTTTTGAACACAGAGTTGATCAAACTTGTATTGATAATCTGAGTACGAATTTCCCTTCTTTCCCAACACCTTAACCTGTAATTTTTTTTAATCAATCATTACAACTTTATGAAAAAAGATAAAAAAAAATTAAAAAATTATACGAGTGATATAAATATTACCTGCACCGTCATTGATGCAAAGTTTAAAAAAAAAAATAATTCAATATTTTTGAAAAATTGGAGCTAAACGGGTTGTTTCCAGTTATGCATTCCAGTGCTCTTCTTGATTAAATCAACGACGCCGCTACAAAAGCCAACAACCCCAAGTGGTCAATAACAATGATAGTTTCTCATGTTAAAATAAAAAAGCAATTTTTGAGAGGTACAAAAACTCCAGGAAAGAAATATCCACGACCACATGGCACTTTACATGAAATAAATGAAATTGTTTAAAAGTTTGTTGGCTTTGGGATTACTTTACATGAAACAAAAAGGACATTTAAAAAATGTTATTGATTTTGCAAACAGGATTTGAAAATGAGGCTATGTTACTATATATATATATATATATATATATATATATATATATATATATATATATATATATATATATATATATATATATATATATATATATAATAAGAAAGCCACCGTGTTGAGTGATATCCCTAACCTTGGTTGATTTATCTCAAAATGGGAGTGAATAGCAAGAACTCTTCATCGTCAATCTCCACATGCACTTGTTTCTCATAATTTTGCTAAAAGATTAAACTTGTTTTTTGATATAATGCTTGCTTCAGCTTTGGAGGGCTATCTTTCCATAAAACAACAGTTTCACTCTTCAGATCCACTTTGGCTCTTGCGTCTTTGAAGGCATAGTACTCTTTTTCCCTTAGTTGTTTTTGGGTTCCATCGGACAAATTTGCCTCTGCCTTATTTTCTGGTTCAATTTTTCCCCTTAATCAAAAGCTTGTTCCAAAAGGCATTTGGTTGGAAATGCTTTCGGAAGTGATGCGTTAAAACAAATAATACACTCAAAGCAAGATTATATGAATATAAACTTTAAAAAAAAAAAAAAAAAAAAAAAAGATAACCTTTCCAGAAATCACATTGAAAGAGTCCAGTACCACCCTCCTGCCCAACCTCTCATTGTGACCGTACACTAGTTATTCGATATCAAACCTATACAACAAACTCATATCAATAAATCAATAAAAAAAACCCGCATTTATTCATTTGAGTGACTAAGTAAAATCATACGATCATATCATCATGATCATATTATAATACATAACTGAGGTTATAAAGCCTTACAACAAACAATAAGAGGGGCGGTTAAACCTAAGTACTTTTTTCAGGCACAAACTCATTTCAACACTCTGTAACAATTATTTGTTTACAAAAATATAATAAAAATGTAATTAAATTTTTAGAAAAAGAAAGAAGAGATTAGAGAAACTACCCTAGTGCCATCAATTCTAAATTGAAAGAGACCAAATTATGAAAATTATAAGCTTTTAGCAATCCAAAATTTTACGGGGTTCAACACACAAATATGTATACCCACACACACACACACAAAAAAAAAAATCATCATTCTTTGAACCAAAATTGAATCAATAAACATGGTAATAAGAAACTGAAAAAGAAATATACATGATGAATCGAAGTTGCATGGGCTGGGAAACTCAGAAGGTTGAAGTCAATAACATAGAGTCAGCCGGAAGAGAAAATAAGACTTATAAGGGAAAAGTAGAGTGAGAACGGAAGGGAAGAAATAGAACCGACAATGGGATCAAACCTATATTGCCACAAATCGTTGGTTGGATGTGATAAAGCAATCGTCCGCCTTGCGAAACTCAGAAGATCAGTTACTAGAAGGTCTCTGTCTATAATATGTACTCAATGAACTTCAGGAAATAAAGGTACCCTGAAGGTTTCTATGATACTTGGACACCTATATCAAAAACATACTTGCGTATTTACAGCCATCTCATTAATCTTAAAATTCAACATTTTTCATCTCCCCACAAACATGGAACTCAATGCACTCAAAGATTGTCTCCAAACAATGGCTATTTTGGCCCATAATGACTTCATTTTCTGGTATAAAAGAGAAATTTCTGAGAATATTTGAAGCAACGACTACAATATTGTTGCTTTTCTGCACACCCTTCATCCTCCAAATTAAGCAAACCATCCTCAGAAAACGACCATTATGCAAGATGAGACTCTGTTGCCTTTTTCTGCGTGGATGCCTTCGTAACACACCCTATGCTGCCATTTAAAAAAAATTTGAGTGTTACCATTGCATACGAATCAAGAATCTGAAAACGCATAAAAAATGGATCTTACTTCTCATCATTTGAGCCTAAAGCTTTGAACTCGTTTCCAAATCTAGTAACAATGGAGTTAACACCTAGAGACCTTGTTTGTGTCTTTATCTACTCTTTTAGGAGAGTGATCTGATGCGACGTCATCTACGTATCCAATTCAACGAACCTTCCCAAAAAATAAAAAACTTCCAAGTAAGAAGTACATCTTATAAATATATTGTGAATACATAATCAATCAAAAAGCCAAACCAAACAAAGGAAGCAGCTATCTCAGATTTCATAAAACAAAACCCCTAATTTCTTTCACACATAACAAAATCAAGAAATCCATTTGTATGTAAATCCATTTGTATGCATAATCTAATTACTATGATTTGATATCAATAATTACTATAATTTGATATCAGTATAATCTGAGAAAAAGTCATGGTATGACTTATAAGAGCATTT